TGTCTTTGATGTTCCTAGACAGATTAAATTCCAGTTGGGCTTTATCTTCCTTAACTTCAACCTTGGATGCTCTGATGATGTATCTCTATTCCTCTCAGGTTACCTGTCCTTGCTTCATCTCCTTGTATGCTCCCTTCTAGTCCCTGAGATTGTCTGGGAGCTCACTGTTCATTCATGCAGAAATTTTGCCTGGCTTCCTCCTCACTGGGATAGATTGCTCCTGAGCTTGGAGGAGGTGATGCTTGAACATTAACCGGCTTTCTTGGGCTGCTCTTTCCTCTAGGGCTTTATTCCATGGGACTCAACCCTTTGAAAAGGCCAAAATTTGCTATCCTGACGTACAGGGTTGTGAATTTGCTTTTTTCCCTTCTACTTCCTTTCAGGACCCCAAATTCCATCATCTCATTGTCACTGCTGCCTTTAACCCTCACATCCCCAGAGAGCCCCTCCTTGTTGGCGAGTAGGAGGTCCAGCGAGCACCTCTCCTCTGCTCCTATCACTTGGATGAAGAAGCTGATGTACTCCAAGGACCTCCAGGACTGCCTGTGTCCTGTGTCCTACAGTGGTGTCCCTCCTGTATATGCTGGGGTGGTTGAAGTTCCCCATGAGGACCTTCACAGATTAGACAGAAGCAAAAGCTGTCAAGACATGTATGGCAAGATGCAAGAACATTTTCACAGTGCTGTAGAAGTTCACGTTTACATATTTTTAACTGAAATTTGGCATAAGTGCCAGAGGTACAGCAACTAACTCATGGATGCATAGGGCTTTGGGACTACTGTGAAAAACATCCCAAACACTGTATTACTTCACAGTGGCATACTATTTGTTTCATGCAGTTTTCTTTATATCCCTTTTATTATTATTTTTATAAAGACCAAAATGTTTAAAGGAAACATTCTTAAATATGACCATCAGAACCCATTATTTCTAGCCATAAACTGTGATACCAGTGCCAGCCTAATGATCCAGCAGAGTTATTACCGTGGCTGAACAGTGCATCTATTTGTGAGGTGCCTGGTACAGCCCATTAGGTGTGTGAGAGGTAGAGAGAGAGGGAGATGCTGTGTAACACATGCAATGAGTATTTACTCTGCTCTGCTGGTCAGATGGAGAGTGCATGATCACAAAATACTTGCACCGCATCCCCTTGTGTATGGTACGGTTTTCTTTCTTGATACATTTGTCTCTAATGATATAGCTGTCAACTGCAGCTATCACACCAGAGGACCTGCACCTTTTTTGGCTCAGCTCCTGGTCCCAAATAAACATATTCATCCAGTCATTTCAACTTCTTTCTTACACTAATGGAAAGTAAAGTTATAAGTGCCTTCACATAAATGTTAAATGACTGTATTCACAAATTTGCTCTTATTGCCTTTTTCAGACCAATCTCTAACTGAAGTTTTGCTGGGGAAAAGTTATGCTTCTATTTACTTTTTGAAGTATTCTTAACTCCTTTTCCTAAAGAAGACATGAAAGATGTTGCATTAAAATAATAATAAAAAAAGCTTCTACACAATTTAAATTTTCTATTAATGTCATCAAAGCTCATCAAAATATGTTAAGAAATATGGTAGAAGCAATACAATAAAAACAGGCCTAATCCACACCAATGTATATTTTGCCTAGCACTACTGAAGGAAATGAAGCCACACTAGTTAAGGCCAACTGTACATGTCCATTTACTCTATTAACAAATGCCAAGTAAATTATTTTTCGTAGTGACACAATGACCCAACACCTGTGTGCTGCACTGCGACATTTTCTATCCAGTCACCTACTACTACCCAAAAACCTCTAGAAGGAGAAGATGAAGAAGGAAACAAGACAATGCCCTAATTCCTCCATCTTGCCTCTTATTTTCTAAACTAGCTTAAACCTTTAACTTTCTCACCCAGTGACTTAAGAAAACTCTCTAATGTACACACTCACACTCCTAATTTTCTATTTAACTTTAACAGCTGTTTTCATGATGTTATATGAAATTCAGTGCTTTCTTGGATGTCAGGGCCAGGTATCAAAGATAAGGGCACACACTTTGTGCCTCTGACTCCAACATGCACATCATCTCAGCATGTTATACCATTATTCATTTTGATAAACCATCATCTATTTAATTTTTTTTCAGCTAGTAAGGAATTCTTTTCAGCCACAGTAAGGAATTTATTTTAGCCAGATAGCGATACAGTTTGAAGATGAGATTTTAAAATACTCTGCAAAAGTCAAGGGCACTGCAGAAGTGTGGTTGTCATTCTGATGGCTAATTGAACTTTGACAGCTCCTAAAATCCCAGGCTCCTGTTGCCCTGAGCTCTGGTCGAACACATATCAAAAGTTGAACCCTCCGCAGCTACATTTATGCTTTCACCTCAGACAATATTAGTAAGTTAAAGAGTAATGTTTTTCTTCTCGATATTATTAAGACCTGTGCACACACTTAATTTTAAGCATGTTCTTCTGACTTTATTGAAAGTGCTAAGTACAGTGCCTAAAGCTAAGCAACCATTTATGTGCTGCCCTCAGTATGAATACTTTCTGCCTTGAGACCTACAAAAAGTGAACATAAACCAAATGCATATAGCTGTAGATTGAAGCAGAAAAAAGTATGGATAAGTAGTAGCAAATTGGCCATGACTCACAGGTGATTATGGGGTTAAACATTCAGATAAATAAATCAGAATTATCTAAATCTCTAATTTGCATTGATATGGTGACACATTGATGTGTTGAAATGTGATGATTTGTCTTGACAATTGGAACAGCGGCTGAAGCAGACTTCAGAGCTCATAACGGGATTTAGAAAAATCCTTTTGAGGTCTTTAAAACCAATATTGCCTAATGTACCAAATGAAGCCATTACATGGTAGACTGTGGTTCAGGGAAGAGTAAAGGACATTGGGGAAAAAACAGGTATGCAAGAAGAATTCATAAACAAAGTGGCCGTGCCCTGAGTGCACCATCTCAACTGGCTTCTGCAATGACCTGAATCTCTTTAATACCTCTTCTCAGCTTTCCCAGATCATCACTGCATCTGGAGGCTAAAACATCCACGCCCTTCTGAGCATGGGAAAGAGATTATCAGCTGAGCATGACTGAGTATTTCAGTCATACTACTGTCTTCTATTCTCTTGGAAATCCTTGTCCATCAGACACAATAATAGTAGACCCAGTGCTCAGATATGACTGCTTGAGAGCAGAGTGGGGATTCCCAGCAATTCTGTACAGACAAAATAAAGGTTTATCTGAACACAGCAGGAAAACATGTGGACACTAGTTTATGAGGTGCATGAGCATGCAGGGACTTGGAGAAAAAAAGCTCCCAGTTCTTCTCTTTTTTTCCTCAGAATGTCAATTTCCCACAGGTTCGGGGCCTAAGTCCTCCACATGCTCTGAAGGTGCTTCACAACCCTAAAATAGCAAGGACACAATAGCCCATTGAAAAGCTTCCTAGTCTTTCCAGCTGAATGTATATAGCTCTTCTTGCTGTGACTTTCAAGGCTGGATTGTCAACAGAAAAGTCTCTCAGGAATCCAGATAAGGAGTCTCATGTTTAGGAAGGTTTATGAAAACAACACTAATTGTAATTGTCCTTTGCTGAGTAGCCCATGAGGTCCCACGAAGTCCTTGCAGCTGCAAGGTCTGTAAGCGCTGACAGCTATCTCTTCATAAAAGTGTAATTGCTGACAAAAGGAAATTGCATCATCCAGCCTTTTCCCCTCTTTATCAAAAAAGGGGAAGTTCCACTGTAGTAATGCTAATGGCAAGAGGATTAATTCTAGGAAGTTTGGCAATGTTTCTTTAAAAATAGGTCATTTAGCAGAATATTGAAGAGCAGTTGAACACTGACTCAGTTTGCCAAGCTGACCTTGTATTCCTGATTCAGATGCAGGCACAGGGGGGACCAGGCTTTGTTCAGCCCTCCAGAGCACCAAAAAAAGTAGCAAGGTTGTGAAGAGAGCGAAGTAAAGAAGAGCTACTGAGAAGCCTTGGATGTGCCAGTGCTGTAAATCTTTTCTTGATAAAGTCTGATGCTCTTTCCAATCTCCTTTGAGTGATGGATGCTTGGGATGTTCAGGCTCTTAAGAGTACTGTTGGTTTGGCTTTGGCATATGAGAAAAAGTGGTTATTGTATATGAACACTGAAAACATATCTTAAATTTTCCATGCTTAAGTAACTGTCAGAAAGCCACATTCAGGAATGGCTACTGCACAAATATGAGCTGATCTTAGTGGCTGCTGTTGGGGAAGAAATTACATTTGATATGGTAGGAAATGTAAGGTGTTTTTCATGATCACTTAACTCCTGAGTAGAGGAGATCTAGGACCAATAAGTGGGGCAGAGGGTGTTTAGTAAAGCGGTAAATAAAATATGGGTCCATTCATAAGGATCAAGAGAATATGATTCACTGATGCCTACAATGTTTAGGGATAAAAATTACATTTTTTAGATACTCTAGCCACCTGTTCTTTTTTCCCCTCAATTTTTTCCATATTGCAACAGTGTTCTCCTCACAGCTTGTCCTACAGTTGGGTTTTTTTTGTTTGTTTGTTTTTAAATCCTGCTCCTATTCATCCCTAAAGGATTGCAGAAGAGTTAAAATCTTCCCAGTTGAAAACCTGTATTTGAGTCTCCGGGCACCGCAGAACCATTTCCTGTGATTGCAGCACAGAGACATAAAATTCCACTGTGGTGGGAATAAACCGAAATTAGATCAAAGATTTCCGGATAATTAAGAGTTCCAAACCAAAACCTCTTTTCCTGCTTTTCGCTTGACTCTACTTTCTTTTTTCTTTCCCAGGCAAACAGGACTGTGCTTCACACAGGAAGCCAAATTTGCCTATCAAAAACAACAATCCAAATTGAGAGCGTGACAAGAGCTGAACCGCATTTGCATCCACTGCAATTCCCCGCGCAAACCGGTACCACCCCGCAAGCAGAGGGCTCAGGAGCTGCCTCGCTGGCTGAACCCTTCCTCCGCGGACGCATGCACCGCTAGCACCGGTGGATGGAATTGGCGGATTTGGGGTGTGAGGTTCTAGCTCTTCTGCCGTGAAGCAGCTCAGCGCCTAGTTTTGGCTTAGGAGCTGGAGAGAAACCGGCTGGCAGAGGTGGCAATACAGAAGGAGCCCAGAGCTCTGGCACGGCTGCCGAGGTCTCCCGGGGGGCTGCCGAGGACACCCCGCTCAGCCCCGTGCGCCTGATGGAGGACAGGAGCCGCCAGCTCCCGCGCTATAAAAGCCAGGAGAGGCCCAGGGTGGGGCTGGCGTCAGCGGGAAATGTCTCCCTGGAAGCAGGTACGTGTCCGCGCCCTGCGCGTTTGGGAGGGCTTGGGGCGGGGTGCGGGGCCGAGCGCACCGGGGCTGCTGCGGTCCCTCCCCGCCGGCGGGACCGGGAGCTGCCCCGCTCTGCTGCGGCCGCGGGGGGAGCCCGGCCCCGGCCCGGCACCGCAGCCCCGGCGCTCCCCGCCTCCCGAGCCGGCCGGGAGCCGCAGCTGGCAGCGGCCGGAGGGGCAGCTCCGCGGGCGGCGGCAGAGCCCGAGCGGGCTGCCCGCGCCTCCCGCCGCCGCCGCCTCGTCGGTGGTGGCACGGATCGCCTCCGTCCTGCCCCCGCGGCGGGAAGGGCCGCCCAAGCGGAGCCCTCCTCCCTCCCGCCCTCCTCCCACCGCCGCACACCCCGAGGAACGGCTTGTTTTCCTGCCCGGATGATGGATTTCTCCGCAAGGTCATCCCTGCCCGCGGCGGCGGTGTGCCCGCGGCTCCCCAGGCGCCGCCGCGGAGGTAAGGGGCGGGGGGAGCGGAGCGGGCACCTACACGGTGAGCACCTACACCCCGCACACACACACGCACACACACATACACACACGTTCGGCGAAGGAGAGCAGCGGGGTGGGTGCGTGGGCAGGTGCCGGGGCGAGGCGGCCGTGCCTCGCCCCGCCGGCCGTGCCCGGCGCGGGGGTCGGAGCCGCGCGGACCGAGCCGCGCCCGGGGAGCGCACCCCGGGGAGCTGAGCCGTGCTCCGGTCCGCGGCGGGAGGGGCTGCGGCCGCCCCGCCGAGCGGGCACCAGCGGCTGGGAGTGGCCGGGCCGGCCCCGAGGGCGCCTCTTTCACCTTCTGCTCGTTTTTACCGGCGCTTGTAAAAGACTTTGGCTCACGCGTGGTCCGGGAGAGCGGAAAACTTAAGAAAAGAAATAAAAAAGGTGGAGGAAATAATGATGAGATGCCCCCCACCGCCGGGACGGGCCGGGGAGATGCGCGGCGCGGTCGCCACGGCAACGTGCCCGCGGCCGCGATGTCGCACCGCGGAAGATGCCCCGGAGGCATCCCCCAACGCGGGGGTGACCCCAGCCGCCGCCTTCGGCCGCCCGGGGTGGGGCTCGTGGCCCAGGAGCGTCCCCCGGGCCGAAGCCGGGCGGGCACAGTGGGGAAGGTGAGCTGGGGTACCCCCGGGTGCTCCCCAGACCGTGGTGTGGAGGCTCTCGGCCGAGAGCGGGAGGATCCGTGAGGGTTGCGAGCTGGGATGTCACGGTCAAGGAGCATCGCGCCGTGAGGGTCGGCCAGGTGATGTCCCTTGCCTGGCTCAGGGCGTTGGGGTTGGGCACGAATCCCTCATGGCCTTTTCTTTCTTTTGCTATAGTTGGTGACAAAACTACTGATGATGTCAGCTCCTGATCTGCGGCTTGTGTTGTCCATATTCATTTTGTGTTCTGTGCCCCATGCAGGCCTTGGCTTCATTAATGCTTTATTCTTTCATCCTTTTTTTTGGCAAGGAAGATAACAATGCTAGTGGTGGAATTCTTAGTCATAAGATATTAGTATGATCCCATAGCCTAACCTCTTCCATAATACAGAGCAGAGACTATTCCCCAGTGATTCCAAGGTCTGGCCCAACAGCCTCTACAAACAGTCTTGATTTAATGACTTCCAACGATGGGAATTGACTACATTCCTGGATAATTGGCTCCAATTTTTAATCACTTTGCTAAACGTTTGCATCTCTTTTCCTCTTTGAACTTTTTTGACTTCATCTTCCAGCTACTGGATCTTGTAATGTTTTGCCTGTCAGATTAAATAGCTATCTAGTTTCAGATCATCTCTCTCTGCTCAAGTATTTAAGGGCAGTAATTAAATAGCCACTTAACGTTGTCTCTGATGAGATAAATAGACCTGACTCTCTTGGTCTCTCTCTGGAATGCAGATGCTCCCCAAGAGAAATGTCTGGGCTGCTCTTCTCTGAGCCTCCACCATCATCCTTGTTTTCCCCCGGTGCTGCACAGTGAATTCCAGGAAGGCCCTTGTTAATGTCACGTGTGGAGATAATAACCTCGTGCTCAGTATTCCCCTGTCTATTCACCCAATGGTACAAACTTTTCTTTCCCACGACTACATGGTGGGAACTTCTGTTCCATTAGTTACAGGCAGTGATCCCTGCACTTTGTGCAAGCCAAGGTTTTCTCAGAAGCTGTCCTGTAAGGAGCATTTGAATTAAATATTTCTACATTTATACCTTTGGATCTGCCTGTGGTAGAGAGCTCAGATCACCTCATTTCCATGTGAGTCTGCAGCTCAGGAATCACAACAGATCTCTGGTGTCCTCTAGAAGTCAGAAGGGTTTCTTTTTCCGGGACCTCCCCCCTAAAGGTCTGTCTTCTCCCCCAGCCAACTTCCAGTAAGTTTAAGGTCACCTGGAGTAAATGGTACCAAGAAGTTGTACTGAGTAATATACAAACTGAAAACTAAAAGTGCCTATTACAGTGAATTGCTTTTGTAACTGCTTTTGTTCAGTTATGCCTCCAAGTATTGGTGAGAGAAAAAGAGAATTGCTTTTCTGTCTTAAAGAGCTGTAAATCCCACAGCTGGCTGTGATGTCTAGGCTGACATATAACGTGTCATTATTTTGCGAGTCTTTAACTTGAACGCTGTGAGTAGCTCTGAAGTGTGGTTAAACCTGGACTTAAATCTCTCTAGAAAGCACAATACCTGAGAGTATGGGCCAGAGGTAGGTGGCTTTGACAGAAAATTGACAATTTTTCCAGCAGCATGTAGCATCTTGAATCTCAACAAAATGATGAGATTGAGTAGTCTAAAGACACCTTCTGAGGGAGATGGTACAAACAAAACAAAGTTCTTTGAAATTAGCTTTTTTTTTTTTTTTGGTTGGGTTGAAGTTTTTTTGTTTTTTGGGGTTTTTTTGTTTGGGGGCTGTGTGTTTGTAACCACCTTGACTTGCCCTGTCTGTGAGCTTAATGCGCAGTGAGGGGGAGTGATGTAAGAGGTCTGGAATCCCATCGAGTAAGTGATATGATGATGTCTGTGAGTAAGGTTTGTTTGCACAAATAATGATAGCAGATTTCAGCCTTTGGAATGACCTGGTTGTCTTCAAAGTGTTAAAATTAAGCAAAGTACATTCTGACTGTATAACAACTTAAATGTCATGACAAAAAGTGTTCTTGAAATTTCATGAAGATTCTTTTTATTACAAGTCCCAGAAAATGTCTATTCATAAGATTTCATGAAGTATAGACAGTGCTGCACTATATATAAACAGTGATGGACCCTTAAATGGTCTGAAAAAGCATCACAGAACTCAGATACCATGTCTGATTGAATAGAGCTCTAGAATTCTGCTGAATTTTCCAGGCTGGTGTCAGCATCTTTGGAATTGTTTCTCAATTGTTTGTCCAATTGTACATCACCCCAATAAGAAATTCTGAAGTGTTACTACCTGAGAGGTATCTTTCCCTCACCCATTCAAACTCGGCTTCTGTCTCCCAGATTGGGCTAATATCTCTGAGTTTTTTCAACATATGCTTTCCCTTCTCATGGTTGCACCTTTTCTTCAACTCCTTTTGCAATCAGAAGGATACGTGTGTGTTTCCTTAGGGTGGCTGGTCCCAAAATTTACACATTTCTGAATTATGAAGCCCATCCAGAGTCAGCCCAGCATTAAGAATAGTGGTTGGTAATGAATTCTACAGGGCCAGAACAGAGAGAAGATAGTATTTTTCAGTCTCAGACTTGCTCAAGACTGTCCAGTTCTAGGTTAAACAGATTTCACTAGCAAAACACTATGGCAGTGGTAAAATTTGTCAGATTTGTGTCCCAAAACTGTTCCTGATACCGCTATTTTTAAGAACATAAACTCCCTCTGTCAGACTCAGACAAAGCTAAGGGGAACAACATCCTGCCTCCAGTTTGTGAAATCCTCAGTGCTGTGGGAGTACAGGCAATCTGCTCATAGTCTCACAGCTACAGACAAAACCCAATTTCATAACAGAGAATTATGCTCCTAGCAGCACATCACTCCTTCATTTATAACTCACACACTAAAAACAGAGTTAGGATATAGGCTGAATCTGCTGCTTTTGTGGATTTAGGAGCAATCCTGGATTAAGACCTGATGTTACCTAATTTAGGTTAACATCACCTTCTTGAACGAAAAAAAGATGGATAATTTTACTAGGGGAAAACAAGTTCTGGACGTGTTCTGAATGCAATTAAGTTACTGGCCAATAGAAAAAGGTTTTGAAAGTATATCTAAACACAGTTTATTTTTAAAAATAGTAAAAATAGAAAAAGTCTATATATATCTGTTTTATTATATATATGGACTTTGAACTTAGTAACAGTTCTATAGAAACAAAGACTGGTACCGATGAAAAATTTAATCACACATGATCAGTTACTTATTAACATCGAGTTATTTGTCTCTTGGGAGTCTGGCTAGGAGCTCACATTTGTAAATTGGCAGCAGATCCTAGAGGGTTGAGGTGTCAGCATGATGCTGAGTAAATAGGGAAGAAAAAGCAGTGCCAACACCTGCAACTCCATGCAAGCTGTGGGGGAGAAAGACAAATGAAAAGGTGGGCACCTATGTAGCAATGACTGGGGACCACCATAATACAATTTGGAACCTATTTGTCAGCAGTGGACACATACACTTGATGAGAATAATTAAGTGGAGGGAAGAGTGCCAACAATGACAAATATTGCCATGCATTGTGGTAGAGTTCTACAGTGTATTAATAGGGGAGAGATTCAATTATTTCCCCTCATCTCCCCCATGCCTCTAAATCAATGATCCTGTGTAACAAAGCTTGGTGGCAGGTATGGAAGCTGTTACCACAGCCACTGTCAGCCAGAGATCCAGGAAGATAGAGTATCTATTAAATTATCCAGGGAAAAGTGTATTTATCTATTATATCTCTGAGAGTAATTGTTAGCAACACATTACTTCTACTGATTGTTTTACTGTACTTATTATACATTAGTAAAACATGGTGGTAACAGCTGAATTT